GTATAAAGTTGATACCTTGCTACTTTGTTCTTTAGATCTTATTATATGTTATTTTTAGCACTTGTTGGTCCTTTTTTCTTGTGTTCTTAGAGTTGTGAGAACTCTAGCACCTTTTAAGCACATTGTATTACTCTATGAACTTGGAAAAAAAATGGGATCTTGTACATTCCCATTAAGTCATGCAAGAGTTATGGTCCATTTAGTCCTTTTAGAGACTTACAGTTTAGATCTTTGTTGTTTTGACCATCCTAATATATAAAGTTGAAAAGTTTATCCATTAAGATGCTATTAAAAATCAGATATGAGAGGTAGAAACCTTGACTTAATGGAATAAGTGAAAACCCCTTTTTGAAATTAGTTTGGACGCGGCGCGTCTGTTGAAGGGCACCGGGGCACTTCTAAATAACTCTGAGACGCGTCATATTGGAGTTGGAACCCATGGACGCATGGTGCCTTTTCACTTAAATGTCGACTTTTTGGTCTTTTGACCAAGATATTGGATTTTTGACATTTTAACCAAGTTTGACTTTAGGTCAAAGTTTAGGGTTTTGGCTATAGAATGAGGTTTAACCTTTATTTAATGTTTAGGTGGTTCGTGAGACCGACCTTTACATTTATTCGCATGTAGTTGTGATTTCCGGATTTTGTTTGAGGTGAGTTTTCTCATTGTATTATTTATGACATGGTTGTTATGACATTACTGTATACTCAGCACACACATCAACAGTTTTATGATTTGATATTTCGCGATGTTTTTTTTTTGTAACTTTGATTTTGGATTATGGTTTATGAACAAATGGTTTTATATTGATTATAACTTTATGAAAATGAGTATTAGTCTTAAATTAAAAATCAAAAAATCATTATAAAATTAAGACGTTACAATATCGCCCTTTACCATTGAGGTAAAAGGGAACAAATTGTTTCGACTACATATACCTCCTTACTAATCAAGCCATATATGATTATAGGGGTGGACATATTAACTGAAAAACCGAACCAAAACCAAATTAACCGATATAATTGAACCATTTTAACCAAATCATTACTAAAAGATATCATGCGGTTTCTAATTTTGGTTAACCGAATACATATGGTTTGGTTATGGTTTTAATCTAAAACTAAACCATTATAAACCGAACCGAACCAATAATATTAATAAATGTTTTTAATATAATACAATATTAAATATATGGCATGTAAATTATATTAGAAATTGAAAAATTAAAAAGTAATTATTTGGAATGGGATAGGATAAGTAATTTCTATCAATACAATTATATATACACAAGCATTAACATTTTATAGCAATGAGCTTTATGTTTTCCAATTTTTATTTTTATGTCATTTTTTATCATTATAGTTAACCGATATTAACCATTAACCAACCAAAATCAATATTAAGTGCTACTCAATGGCTATCAAAAATACATTAACCAATTTTAATGGTTATGGTTCGGTTTGATTATATCATTTATGATTGTCAGTTACAAATAAAGTTGAAATATAATAAAGACCGACTTTATTTCGAAAGTCTTTAGGATAAATGATATCACCTTTTTAGAGTTACTTATGATAGATACACAAAATAATCTCAAATTATTGATCGCTTCATATCTTTATTGTCATCAACTCATCCTAATGCTAGACGGTGTGGATCTCGGATGGCTCGGAATTAACATTGGCAAACTTGGCAAACACCGGGCCGACCCCTCGGCTTGACGAGTTGGGCTTGGTAACTCGGCTAGCTTTTCACCTAGGAGAGAGGTGGTATTGGGTTACGAAATGTGAACGTTGAAAGGAGTATATTACCGTTTTTTTTTCAAAAAATCCCCCCTTTTTACCTTACATAAATATCATTCTTTCTCATATTTTATCCCGCTTCACCATCTTCATATTTTCACTCAAACAATTCAAGTTTTTTGAAAAAAAATTTATCCTCTTCCAAACCAAAAGCTCAAAAAAATACCAAACAAAACACTCAAAACCCAAACGTCTCACCTTCTTCACCAACTTTCATTCAAAATCAACACGATCGACCTATTTATTCTCCACCAAATCTACATTTTGGTGGTGTTTACTACCCATTTCAAGCCCAAAATCAACCTCAATACCAAAATCAAGCACAATACCAAAATCAACATCAATTCCAAAACCAACCACAATTTCAAAGACAACTCCAGTTTCAAAACCAACCAGAAATGAACTTCTCATCCCAAATGATGCATGAGTTCAATCCATTTGATGATCTTTCCGACTCCCCAATGAACCACCAAACCGAATTTCAAACTGAAGCGGAACCCGTAGTCGTCCCGGAAACGGAATCTGATCCGGAAGAGAATCCACCACAATAAAAAAAAGTGGAAGGGGGCCTCCAAAGCAATTGACATCCACCGAAGAAAAGACGTTAGCGCGTGCTTGGGTGGATGTTTCTGAAGATCCGGGGGTCGGAAACAACCAAGATTGTCCAACTTTCTTCCAGAAAATCACAAGCTAGTTTCTCAATGAGATGAAACTTGGTGATTACCGGAAAAAAGACCAAATTTATTCTAAGTGGCGAAATGTTAACAAAGTGGTAACGGAGTTCAACGGGTTGTTTTCGAGTGTGAAACGACAATGGCAAAGTGGTACAAACAATGAAACCCTTTTGCAAAAATATATTGACATGTACCGGGAACAAAAAGGGGTGTCATTCAAATGTTTACATGTTTGGAACATTGTAAAATTGTCAAAAAAATGGCAGGATGTGGCATCTTCTGAAACTTTTACGTGTGGTTCATCTAAAAGAACCAAAACGTCTAAAACGACACATAGTCAATCGTCTGACGCGCATATCGGGATTGATCTCAATGAAGATGAGCATTTTGAGGTTCCAAGAGCAACTCGCCCCATGAGAAGAGACAAGGCCAAGCGAAAAGGAAAAGCGGCGGCAACTACTTCCGAAGACGTCGACAAACAAACAACAAAAATGGACAGTTTGAAGTCTTCCTTGGAGCGATACTTGGACTTTGCACAAGAGAAAGAAAAAGTTCGTGTCATGTCCATTTTAACGAGTCCCACAAACGAACTATCCGGATACGAACAAGAAATGACTTTAAAAGCCAAAGAGGAGCTTGCCAAAAAAATATAACATCTAGTATAGGTTTTATATTTTTATTGTCATTCTTTTTTTTTTTACATTTATATGTTTTTCTTTAATTCTTAGGTTTGTAATTTGAATTTCTATGTTTTTTTTGGTGTGTTGTATTTTCATTTTAAGTTTAATGAATTTTAAGCTTTAAAAAAATTGATATGTTTAAATTATTAATTTTGTATATTAAAAAAAATAACATATCAAATGTGGCAACCCGTGCCTAGCAAATGACAAGTTTTGGTAAAAATATGGCGTATGTGGACCGTGGCATTTGTGTCAACACACTAGGGGTGGCAAATCGGGTCAACGTGTCGTGTTTTTGTCTGACACAACACGACACGACAAAGTTTTATTTAACACGAACACGACACGAAACGATGTCGTGTTTTTTCTAGCTAACACGAAATCGAACCAATTATAAAACGATAAACACGACACGACACGACAAAAATAACATAATATAACAATTAGTTTATTTAATTAATATTTAATCATACATAACACGACAAACACAAGTAAGACGAAAAACACGACAAATAAATGTCAAATCGTGTCAATTTCGTGTCGAATTTTGAACACGAACACGACACGACACAGCATCGTGTTTTTTACACGTGACACGAACACGAATTCGGATTTCAGTTTCAGCCCAATTTGGTTTCGTGTCGTGTTTTTTTGTCGTGTCGTGTCAACAATTGTCACCCCTACAACACACCCACTAGCCTAAGCATACTAATTTTGTCTAAATTCATAATAATTTACTTGTATGTAATCCAATTTTATAAATACAGATACCACAACCTTTTAATAATCAAATGTTTTATATCATTTTTTAATTTATCTTTCCATTTTAATATCAAATATTTGTTATAGTTATAATAATATAAAATTGTTTTTAATAACCTATAGTAGTTTATAAATATTTTACCTATATGATATTTTATCCAAAAATCTACCTAATATATATAATACTTGACATAACGCAACGTCATGTGACCACTCGTATAGTCAAAAGGACAATGAAAGAAAAATAGATTTTAATATAGTTTTTCGTTATATATATATATATATATATATATATATATATATATATATATATATATATATATATATATATATATATATATATATATAAAAGCATATTAATCATATATTACATTTTAAAACATATAAATTATAAAGCTTTTTATAAAAATTAATTATGCATCAATACATCATTAATATTTGTCAAAAGTTTGAAGTCTTGAATTAAAGAATTTTATTAAGAACTTCAATTTGGAGCAAAATAATAATTTTAAAATATTAAATTAATATATATATATTAGTTAATATTTTTAAAGTAGACAATGATATTAATTAATTTACGTCAATAGTATAAACAGACAATATAAATAATGTCTAAACATAAATAGTTTATTTAAAAGTGATAATTTTTCTATTACATAACAACTAATAATAAAATTTAATAATTATTTACCGGCCAGAAAACTATTCGCCAAAAAAACTATTTATCACCACTGCTTCGCGCGGGCACACATAATGTGTGTGTGAGTGTGTGTGTATGTGTGTGTATATATATATATATATATATATATATATATCTTAATACCTTAAAAAACATTTACCTATTTTAAGACAATGAAGTCTTAATTTTAAGTAGTATAAATTATGAAGCATCAAGTACAATTATTCAATGCACAAATATCCGTAAATATTGCATACGTTTGACTGAGCCCTATTATATCTCCCTGTTTATCTTTATATATCTCATCTCAAACAGAATGAATGTCAAATGAACCGGTCGAAAGTTGAAACAGTCGCCCTTATCTTCAACCGATTGAATCGGTCAACAATAAACACACTTTATATGGAATCCCCTCCCTCATTTCGATCACAAATACACCAAATAAATCATTCACCACTCAACGCCCTCTTCATCGCCTTTTGCCACCAGAAAAAAAAAGGTTAATCAGGTTTGCTTTTCATTTTTTATTGCATCTTTTTGTTCTTCCCAGAAACCAATCACCACCACCTTCTATCCCTAGAACCGTCATTTTTGCTTTATCGCAGTCTTCCTCATTCTTTTTTGTTGCTTCAACAGAACCCTAGAGATATTACAACTAATTGTATCTCTAAGAGATTAAACGTTAGTCAGAGCTAATTGCAAGGGGAGGTTCATGGAGGTGGTCTATCCCTATTTTATTTCTCTCTTTAATTGTGATTGTGTGCGTGTTTGTTTGTTTGTTTGTGTTTACAGGTCCCGAATCTCGACCATCTCTCCATATTCGTCCATATCTAGGTAAGAATAAATCAAATCTCAACCAACAATCGCACCACTACACACGACCCGCTTCTCTTTTTAACTGTATTTGTTTGTTTGTGGTTATAGGTCCCCGAATCTTGGCTGTGTCAATCACTCATGTTACCTTTTTGGGTGAACCATATACTCAAGAATAGGATAACACTTAGGTTGTTAACCTGTGTGTGTATATATGGTAATGGGTATTGAAATGGGTTTGTTGATTTAACATTTACTGATGTTTTTTTTGGTTGGTCTGGTTTGGCTGTTTGAGGTTTCAACAATTGAAGCTTCCATGGGTAAGTCTTAATGTGTTGCTGGTTCTATTAACAAACACAATCTGATATTTTTAGGCGAAAATGGATATTCAATTCTTTCTATATCAGAGTAAAATAATTGTTTTAGGAGGATTTGGGGGGTGGGTTTAATGTTGATGCTTATAAAAAGTTATATAATAAAGACCTTGATTCACTATAGTCTCTATTCTTTTGTCTTTTGTTATTAGTTTTTATTTTATGTGTTATAGCCCAAATGACCAAAATGAAGACCCACTTAGCTGAATTAAGAAATATCATGCACCGTATATTATATTTTTATTTCTTTCCATTGTTTTTTGGATTTAGTAGAATTTGTTATGAATAGGGGTATTGTTATGTTTAGTTGTTTACATTGTCGTCTTACAAGCAAAAAGATATTTGTGTGAAAGTGTTTTGCCCGGAGGTGAGACCCGACTTACTTTCATGTTAGATAAGAAATGGTTGAAAAAAGTTGTTTCTCTCTCCCTGTCTCTCACTTTTGTCCCTCTGTTTCCCTTTTTGTGTTATTATTTTTCATGTCTGCTAATTTTTTTAAATCCTAATTATGGGATGTTTTGAAGTTGGATTATCACTTTTTAAAGCCATCACATCCAGAAATTTGAAGCTGATACTGCAGGTATAGATATCATAGTGGAAAATTCCATTCAAGCTAAAACTATCAAATGTTTAATCATAATTTTTAAACTTTTCGTGTGTGTAGGGGTTTGCATTGGTAAATAATTGCATCTCATCATAAGATCATGTGTGTATGTGTAGATGAAACGTGGCTGCTATTGAAATGATGACTTTTGCTGCTATAAAAGGCATGAATGCAGCTGAAACGTGGTTGATTTTGTTAGCAACAATACACCAACGTAGCTGCTATAAAAGGTATGAATTTGAGTTGCCAATAATCAACATTGTGGCCTCTTATATGGCTTGCTTTGGGCTGCAATATTTGCTCTAAATGGGTTGTTAAATGAACAACAAAATATGCATTTTATGAACCTTTTGTTGATGATTTTGCTCTAAATGGGCTGCATTATTTGGTTCTTGGTTTAATGCTTCTGGAGAGAAATTGAAGGTTTGATTTCCGAAAGAAATTATAAATCAAGGACATGTTTCTTAAAAGGAAAATATCCTCTCAATATGTTTATTATTGTTTGTAGGGAATTGACAGAAGACGAACAAGAAAGGAGAAAAGATTTTTATATTCATTATTGTCTTAGAGATAATCTATATTTTTTTGGTTTTCTAGGATTTTGCATGTGGTTATTTCTTATATTGAGAGGACATAAGGAGTAAATAGTTATGTGAGAGGATTTATATGGAGGTAAACATGTTTATATGTTTTTAATATGATTTGTTTACGTATGTAGTATCAGTTGATTATGTTTGCAATTTCTTCAATTATCCCCAATCTCTCTCTCTCTCTCTCTCTCTCTCAATCTCAATTTGTATTTATGAACTCTGAATATGTGAAATTGACTGATTTTAAAATTTTAATTGTAAGAAATAAGCATAAGTTTAAATCTTCTAATAATAATAATAATATTACACTTTGAAAGAAATATTAATATCACCATCAACTGGTTCTATAAACAAGCATTGGTGAGCATTGGTGGGTGACTAAAGGACATGAGGCGTTTGGTGGAAATCATGGAATAGAAAACCCTTCTGTCTAGCAGAAATTATAAAATGGGTTTGAAAGTAAAAACAATGTTATTAGTATACACTAAAAACTGTATTATTTATAACAACTTAATTAAAAATCTCTTTAATTTGTTGGAAACAATACAATATTAAATATGTTTTTTAATATCAATATTTAATAGTTACCTCAATTTAATATGTTACTAAGAAAAATGGATTTTGTTATATTACACATTTTATATTAAAAAAAACAAATTTAGGTGTTATGTTAAATATGTTAAAAGTAACATTTTATATGAAAATATAACCATAGAGTCGATTTTAAAAATAATTGATACATATATCATTTTTAAAGCATTGGTGGAGGAATTATTTTTCATAATATGCAATATTGAAATGAATAAGATAATATATTATGTAAACAACATTGATTTTTAAACAAGCTATATGTTTTTATTTATTTATTCATTAAATTTGTTGAAACACAAAACCATGTAATAATATTAATAATTAAAATATTGGTTGAAAAAACACTATTTTGTCCAACAAAAAGATCTCTGCGATTGAATACACCATTTAAACTCTAAAATAAAACGTTTCAAATACACCATTTAAACTCTAAACGAAAAAACGTTTCAACTAGAGATCCATTCATTTTTCGGGTTCTTATTTTTTCACTTTTTATGAATGCCGAAAAAGAGATTTTTATTGGTTGAAAAAACACTATCTGTCCAACAAACGAATGTTTTTTTTGAACTTATGTATATTTTTTTTTAATTATCATCAATTGTTCTATAATTATTAATTGCATCGAGGAGAGTGTTAAAGAGGGAAAATTTGAAAAGTTTTTCATTTGTACTTTTTGACATGTTCTTTTTTCGTATTTGGTGGCCTCATAAAAAACTAATAATGAAATGTTTGACATTTTTCGAATTTTGGGATATTTGTTTTGTAAAAACATAAGCATTATAGTCAACCAACTTTTATAATTAACCAAAAACAACTGTATATTTCAATTTCAATGTGAAACAACAAACTTGTATATGTTGCATCACCTACCTTTCCCTAACTAACTAAACCCTAATAATACATTGTTTGTCGGAAAATGATACATTGTTTGTCGGAATACATTGTTTCTTACTTTTAACTTTTAATATGATATGTTTTCTAAAACACACTAAGCACTGAATTGAAACTATTCTGTACAAACTAATTTTTAAAAAAATTATTCACACTCGTCGCTTGGCGCGGGTAATCGGCTAGTATATATATATATATATATATATATATATATAGATATATAATATATATATATATATAAGGGAAAGTTCATTTGAGAAAAAAAATTGAGAATAAAGGAATCATTCTTATCAATCATTTATTCTTCATATAAAACGCTCCGTCAGTCTAGTGTGCTGGAGAACTTAAACGACATATTTGAAATGAGTGATGCAGATTCATTCTCTCGTTCACAACCTTTTTTTCTAAATTGAA